TCTGTCTGTCTGTCTGTCTGTCTGTCTGTCTGTCTGTCTGTCTGTCTACATTTTTTTTTAATAGCAGCACTTTATTACAACCATTAAGTTAATCTAAACTGTAAATGTTTAAATTATACTTTAGTGCAAATGGAATTGTCATGTTGAATGATCAGTGTGGTAAATGTAATGTTTCAACTTTATAATTGAATAATATTAGAAATTAATATACGTTTATCAGTTGCTGTGGCAACCCCTGAAGAAGGAACAGCTGAAAGAAGATTCAAATAATGATTTCTACTATATATAATTAAGAAATTATGTGTCTTAGTATATATTGTAAACATCTGGTTTCAGCTGTAGATAAATGGTATAGATTATTTAAAAAAACAGCAAATCTACTGTTATTAATCTGTTTCAGATGGTCCAAGCCTTCTGTGTGAGGAGCTGGAAGATTTGGAAACGAATAACTCCCAAGAAGCAAACAGGAGGAGGGGAGAAGGAGACGAGGAGGTGTCTAATCAGAGGGGTAATGAAGAGACGAGAGAGGTGGCGGAGCGTGAAGAAACAAATGGAAGGGAGGAGAGAAAAGAAAATAAAGTTGTCGGATCAAAGAAGGAACTGATGGCGAGAGGAGACGAGGAGGAGCAGGGGAAGCCTGGGAGATGCCTGGAAGATGGGGAGTCACAGGATGTGCAGACGGAGGGTAAAGAGGAGGAGGAGGCCAGCAAAGAAATAAATTCTGATAAGAAAGAGACAAAAGTAACAAAGAAAGGTGAGCAGAAAAAGGGCAGGAAGAGGCGAGGTAAGAAGCAGAGTGAGCAGGTGAGAAACAGGCGAGCAGGAAAGGACGCCAACAAGAAGGCCGAGGAGGAAAAGAAAGGTGAGACGCAGGAAGTGTCTGTGATGGTTTCAGAGGAGAACTTGGCTCTGTTGGAGCCCTCCGTCAGCCTGCTGAGCAACTGTGACTTATCTGACCAGGTCTACTTAAGTTTTGGGGGGACAGAGCTGTATTGCCCCCCAATTCCGGCTCCCCTGCTGTACTCGCAGCCTCCCGCCTCCATTCAACCTGCTGCTCCTCAGTCGCACAAGACAAAACGACCTCGCAGCCCCCCTCAACCTCACAGTCTCCCCCAGCAGAGCTCTCAGGCTCTTGAGGTGAGAAGAAAGACTTAATTTGTTCACCTAATCCCACCTGTTGATTCTCAGATTCATAATCCTTAAAATAACCTGTTGACATTTATAGCCACGCTCAAGACGAAACATTTGCCAAATATTAAATTTTTGTCATTCCATATGTTTGCAAACTGAATGTCTGATGATCCATTTTTAGTTACTTCTGCGTTTTCTCTTATTAAAACAGGGTTTTCAAAACGCCATTTATAATCACAGTCTAATGTGCAGGAAATGATGCACACCTACCACCTTCTGTGCAATTAATGCTGCACCTGTGAAAATGCCATTTAAATATTAGACCCGCTTTGTGATGTAACATTAAACCAGGAGGTAATGGAGCTGCAACAAGCTTGTGAAAAAGGTTTTCTTTTATTCCATCCAACTTTAAAGGTGCATCTTGCTGAAAAGTTCAGTACAGGTTACATTTTCTAAATGGTGCCTGCACTGAAATGTGTCAGCAGTTCTTTCATTTTCTTTAGTATGGGAGAGAATGAACAGAAAGGTCATTATTTATTTAACTAAAATGTAAGAAATCCCCCAAAACTCTGTTAAACAAAATATTACAAAATATAAACTTTACTCTTGAGTGTTTATACTTGAATGTCACTTCTGTGGTTCTTGCTAAAAGAAGTTTAGTCCTGGTTTGCTGTTTTTATTTATTAATTTATTAGTTTGTTTTAGTCCTAACCGAGTGAGATCATACAAACGGGTCACAGTCTGAACCAATTCTGAAATATATTTTGATAGTTGTTTACCAACTTATTAGCTAAGGATGGGACTATTTAGACACCTCAGGATTCAGGGGGCTGACATGCAGTTATAAAATAATTATTGATGTATCCATAATCATGCTTTAAACAAATTCCTGAACAGAGATTCTCTGAAACCTAAAATTAATGTTTTGCTCTACTCTGCCATGTAAAAACATTTTCATTCAAACAGGATTTTATTAACAAAATTAACAGTCAGGTCAGTTCAGTCAGGTCATCTGGACAGTTTCTTTTTTTTTTTTTTTTTTGTTGAGACGTTTCATCCTTCATCCAAAGGACTTCATCAAGCCGAGGAGCCACAAAAGAACTCAGTCCTACAAGCAGCACATTCCCATAGTGGACCAACCAGTTTGCTGGTGATGAGATGAAATATCTTAATAAAATAAAAATAAAAAAAGAAGAAACCGTCCAGATGATCTGACTGAACTTTAAAGTACAAACCGGATTCCAAAAAAGTTGGGACACTAAACAAATTGTGAATAAATACTGAATGCAATGATGTGGAGGTGCCAACATCTAATATTTTATTCAGAATAGAACACAGATCAAAAGTTTAAACTGAGAGAATGTATCATTTTAAGGGAAAAATCTGTTGTTTCCAAATTTCATGGCGTCAACAAATCCCAAAAAAGTTGGGACAAGTCCATTTTAACCACTGTGTGGCATCCCCCCTCCTTCTTACAACACTCAACAGACGTTTGGGGACAGAGGAGACCAGTTTCTCAAGTTTAGAAATAGGAATGCTCTCCCATTCATGTCTAATACAGGCCTCTAACTGTTCAATCGTCTTGGGCCTTCTTTGTCGCACCTTCCTCTTTATGATGCGCCAAATGTTCTCTATAGGTGAAAGATCTGGACTGCAGGCTGGCCATTTCAGTACCTGGATCCTTCTCCTACGTAGCCATGATGTTGTGATTGCTAAAGAATGTGGTCTGGCATTATAGTGTTGAAAAATGCAGGGTCTTCCCTGAAAGAGATGACATCTAGATGGGAGCATATGATGTTCTAGAACCTGAAAATAGTTCTCTGCATTAATGATGCCTTTCCAGACATGCAAGCTGCCCATGTCACAAGCGCTCATGCAACCCCATACCATCAGTGATGCAGGCTTCTGAACGGAGCGTTGATAACAACTTGGGCTATCCTTGTCCTCTCTGGTCCGGATGACATGGTGTTCCATAAAGAACTTCAAATCATGACTCATCTGACCACAGAACAGTCTTCCATTTTGCCACACTCCATTTTAAATGACCCCTGGCCCAGTGCAAACGTCTGAGCTTGTGGAGCTTGCTTAGAAATGGCTTCCTCTTTGCACTGTAGAGTTTCAGCTGGCAACGGCGGATGGCACGGTGGATTGTGTTCACTGACAATGCTTTCTGGAAGTATTCCTGAGCCCATTCTGTTATTTCCTTGACAGTGGCATTCCTGTTTGAGGTACAGTGACGTTTAAGGGCCCGGAGATCACGAGCATCCAGTAGAGTTTTACAGCCTTGACCCTTACGCACAGCGATTGTTCCAGATTCTCTGAATCTTTTGATGATGTTATGCACGGTTGATGATGATAACTTAAAAGTCTTTGCTATTTTACGCTGGGTAACACCGTTCTGGTATTGCTGCACTATTTTTCTGCACAACAATGGTGGAATTGGTGATCCACTTACCATCTTGGCTTCTGAGAGACACTGATACTCTGAGAAGCTCTTTTTATACCCAATCATGTTGTCAATTGACCTAGTTAGTGTTAATTGGTCTTCCAGCTGTTCGTTATATGCTCAATTTCCTTTTTCCAGCCACTTATTGCTACTTGTCCCAACTTTTTTGGGATTTGTTGACACTGTGAAATTTTGAATCATATTTTTCCTTTAAAATTTTACATTTACTCAGATTAAACTTCTGATCTGTCATCGATGTTATATTACAAATAAAATATTGACATTTGACATTTCCACATCATTGCATTCAGTTTTTATTCACAATTTGTTAAGTGTCCCAACTTTTTTGGATTCCGGTTTGTATTTTTACCTGAATTATCGAGCATGAACTTTGATGTTTTGAAACAAAAATGAGTTGAAATGCTGAGTTCAGTTACATTAGATTTTGTGACACCTGGGCTTTCCTGATATAGTTTTTTTTTTCCCAGACCGAGTATGCATACTTTACTTTGGGTACTTACTGAATCCAAGTATTGATACAGATTATAGTTGGTACCTAAACATTTGTTTTGTTGGAACACAGCAGTCTAATCTCCTAATACCACTTTTATCTTAAAATATCGCCAAACAACACATTTTTATTTTTTGCTCTTTGTTACTTGCGCAGCGAGAGGAAATAATGTCACAAAGCATAGAAGTGGTATCAGTTTGTTTTGGGCCCAGTATCGGGACAGCACTAGTAGCAGTAGATGTCTGTGCGTCACATATTAAAGAGGTCATCATCTGCTTTCTTCAGTGTTTCCATGATCTGCTTTAGGTCTTTTGGTGCAGTGTCTTTGGAACAGAGCAACATGTTGCACACAAGCCTTGGCTTTCAGTGGCTGAATGCAGATGAAAACCGTCTGCGACAAAAGTTGCAATGGACTTTAAAATTTGCTTTGCCTTTATTGAACTGGATGAAAGCTTTGATGAGGCTGAGGCTACGGTTCTCTGTTGGAAAAGGGTGGATTGCTCTCTTTGGGCCGAGGGTGAGGTTCTGCCTCAAGTGGAGGAGTTCAAGTATCTTGGGGTTTTGTTCACGAGTGAGGGAAGAACGGAGCATGAGATTGACAGATGGATTGGTGCAGCGTCTGCATTATTGTTCACTTTGTGCTGGTCCATTGCGGTGAAGAGGGAGCTGAGCTGTAAGGCAAAGCTCTCTGTTTAGTCTACATTCCTACCCTCACCTATGGTCACGAACTCTGGGTAAAGAATGAGGTCATGGATGCAGACAGTTGAGATGGATTTCCTCTGCAGGGTAACTGGACTTGTAGAGATAGCGTGAGAAGTTCAGTAATCCGGGAGAGTAGAACTGCTACTCCTCCACATCGAAAGGAGCCAGTTGAGGTGGTTCCAGCATCTTGAAAGGAATGCTTCCTTGCGAGGTGCTTCGGGCATGTCCGACTGGGAGAAGACCCCAGGGAAGACCCAGAACACGCAGGAGAGACTGTCTTTCAATTGGCCTGGGAATGCCTTGAAGTCCTCCCAGAAGAGCTGGAAAAGGTGGCTGTGGAAAGAGATGTCTGGGGCTCCCTGATCAAGCTGCTGCCCCCACGACCCGACGTTTGAATAAGCAGAAGATAATGGATGGATGGAAGCTTTGAATTCGATCTCTACATACTCCTCCATTAGCAGTGGCAGGAATGAGCTACTGTTGGGAACGTGCACAAGTTGTATGAAGCGTGACTTTTAATCAGTGTCATTTTCCCTTTGACTTCACAGAAGCTGAAATTCTTCCAAATGCTGCTTTCATTGCAGAAGGAGCTGTTTGTATGTGTCGTTCAGCCGTCATGCCTTTTGTTTCTGCTGTGCACGCCACGAACTGTCCAGGCACAGCCTCTTGCATGCTTCACCTTGACATTAACATAAAAAAAACCATATTTTTTAAAATTGTAATAAAAGTATGAGGCCTAAAAATAGATTATAACCCCCCACTCCTGTTATAAGTAATACAGTTCTGACATTTTTCAAGAACATTTCTTTTTTTTTTTAGCTTTCTTTAGACTGCCCTTTGCAATTCTTTTATTAGAAAATTCATTGACTTCAACTTTTTTACAGAAACTTTTCAAAACTGCATAAGGTTAGGATTTTTTTTCCTTTGCTGTGAAGAAATGAGAAATTGTAACAATTAAAAGGCAAAAGTGCTTAATTTAAGAGCATAATGTGGGGCTGCCAAATACATAAAATAGTGTATTGCCCTTTATGCCCACACCCAGGCTAGATGGTCGTGACTGAGATACTAAAACCTGGAAAGTGCTGTGAGCACCATGAAAGAGAGCGAGGAAAAGCTGTTTACAACATTTAGCAGTAATATCACATTTGTATCTTTTCTAGAACTGTGTAGTTAGAAATAAACTACAGTTTTTCCTTTCTTTATTCCACAATTCAAAGCCCTTTTTCCTTTTCACAGATTGTTTCATTTTGAAATGAAGTGCCGTCATTGTAGCTGAGCTGAATGAAGTACAGTAGATAAAATATCAGATTTTCAGTTTCTGATCTGGCAGTAAAGCTGTTCAGAGTTGCCCATTTTCAGTCACCAGCCGACTTTGAGCTGTGCAGCATTTACATTTTAGTTTTATTTACTGAAGGGAATTCAGAAGACACTTCATTTAAACATCTTTAAGAATTTGTTTGCTTGTGTGCGATGGTGACGAGAGAAATGGAATACCTAATCAGAACTTTAAACAGTATTTTGATCATTATCTATATTTATTTTTACCTTAAAATTAAAATTTTGAGGTGATGGCTTTCAAAAAAAAGTATCTGCTGCTGTTTCTTTTATTAAATTATCGAAAACTTTATCCCTCGAGGTCATAAAGAGGCTTCTAGCCAAAGTATGCAATCTGTAGACAACCTAAGGCTCTGGATAAGCAGTTTTTTAATTGTTGTCATTTTATGAAGCAACTAATTAACACAAAAATGAGAAAATCATTATCTTTGTCCTTTATGATAGATGTGTGAGTAGCACATACAGTAGGAGATGCACTCAGACGACACTGGAAATTAATTGCTCAATCCATAAAGTCTCTAGCTAACCTCCGTTAGAAAATCTCTGCAGCTGTGCAGCGTTTGGCAAGATTCAAATGTTATGACGTTCTGAAAGCTATTATTAAGCAGCATTCTGGTTAATTATACAGTATTGCACTGATTTCGACTGAGACAACGACCGGTGACATAATGTTGAATTTGGCTTGTGGCAGATGGAGATAACTCAAGTCTACTCCACTCGACGCTCTGTTCGATACAGCAAAAGAGGTCGAAGCCTCCCTCTGCTACCTGGGTCAGAGAACGTGGACCTGCTGCTGCCTGCCCCGAAGAAGAAAACACGCACCCTCTACAGTACAGGTGATCACTGTGTGTGTTGTATTGATGCATGCTCAGATTTTAGCACTTTGCTGAGGCGTCTGAACGATTTCAGACCAGCTGGAGCATTTAGAGGCGTTGTTCCAGGATGATCACTACCCTGACGCTGACAAGAGGAAACTCATCGCTGCGTCGGTCGGTGTCACCCCCCAAAGGATTATGGTAAAACTGTCCTGCTGCTCTTTTGATCTTTTGAGAAATTCTAATTAAGATGTTTCCTAGTCGGTTATCTGCAACTTAGGGGGAGGAATAAATGAGTAGCTTACAGAAAAGTTCTCCTTGCCTTTTAACTTTGACTGCCTTTTTCCACCTCCCCTCCCATTTACAGCATCTTCTGTTGTTGCCTCACATCTATTTTTTAGCTAGTGCTTGTGTCTTATTTTATTTACTTTTATTCAGACAGGTAGTGTCATTCATGAGAGAGGCCTGAAACCCAGACACAGAACATCAGCTACATAAAATAATAATGCAATAATATAAATCATTAGATATTTAAAAGGCAGCAGGGTTTGAACAAAACTTAAAAACAAACAGGCTGAAACATTGATTTTTTTTTCTCCATTTTGTTTAATATTTGTTTAAGATGTCTGAGAGATCAGTCTAGATGATTTCAGTTCTTGCTGTAGTCCAGAAAGTGGGAGCAAAATAGGAGAAGGCCTTTTTTCCAAGTTCTGAACTGAGGGGACACTGAAAGGAATTAAATCCTGGGCGTGCAGGCTATGACTGTGCTGTGTTTGTGACATCTTAGAATATAGATAGAGGCAGCAGGCTCAGGATGGATTTGTAAATGAAACATGCCAGTGTAGAAGTCTGCGTGTGGATAACGACGGCCAGTTTACCAGCAAGTATAGAGCACAGTGATGGGTGAAAAGTTTACAATTTGTCATGATTCAAAGAGCTCCATCATAAGTAAAACTTGTGCGGAGAGCTGGTGGCACATTCATATAAACATAGTCCAGCAGTGAGAGGAAGGTTGCAGACACAAAATGTTTATGAGCCACATGAAATATTAACAACAAAGTCCATGCTCAGTAATCCAGGTATACAATCCAACATTTTTCAGTCAGGTCATCAGGACAGTTTCTTTTTTTTTTTCTGAAATGTTTCACCTTCCATCCAGAAGGCTTCATCAGTCAAGGAAACGCACAACAAAACAGATTCTTCCCCCAACAACTTACTCCAAAGTGGAACAAACCAGTTCTGCTTGTGATAAGATGGTCTCTTTGGTACGCCCCCTCCTCCATTGCCAGCCCTCTTCCTTGTTGACAGTCGTGTCAAACTGGTTGAAAACAACAAAGTCCATGCTCGGTAATCCAGGTATACAATCCAACATTTTTCAGTCAGGTCATCTGGACAGTTTCTTTTTTTTTTTGTGCTGTCAACCAGTTTGACAAGACTGTCAACAAGGAAGTAGGCCGGCAATGGAGAAGGGGGCGTACCAAAGAGACCATCTTATCACAAGCAGAACTGGTTTGTTCCACTTTGGAATAAGCTGTTGGGGGAAGAATCAGTTTTGTTGTGCGTTTCCTTGACTGATGAAGCCTTCTGGATCTAAGGCGAAACGTTTCAGCACAAAAAAAAACAACTGTCCAGATGACCTGACTGAAAAATGTTGGATTGTATACCTGGATTATTGAGCATGGACTTTATTGTCACATGAAATATTGCTTAAAAAAAATTAAACGCTTAGTTTAATCTTTTAGTTTTTCTTTTTTATGTAGCCAAAGTGACACTTGAACGGGAACATTTTGTCTTTTTAACCTCTCAGCTTCTTCAATGCTCTGCAGTCTCACTGCGTTTTCACAGAATTTACAATTCCTCTAGTCTACTTTTGAACTCAACCCGAATCAAAATGGCTGCCCAGTCAACCCACCTTGAAGAAAACTTATAAATGGCTATATTGCAGTCAGTTTTACTGATATTGACAAAATCTATATTGGACAGCTGAAAGAGGAAGTTTAAAAAGCAGTGGGCAATATACATTTCTTTTGACAATGCTAGAGCAGAGGTTCCCAACACTGATCCTTGAGGAACACCATCCTGCATGGTTTAGTTGTTTCCTGCTAAGACACACCTGATTTTAATAAATGAGTGATTAACAGGCTTCTTCAGAATGAGTGGAAGTAATTAAATCACTGACTCAGGTGTGTTGGAGCAGGGAAACGACTAAAACATCAAGGATGGTGTTCCTCAAGGACCAGTGTTGGGAACCACTGTGCTAGAGCATTAATTTTCTCATGTTTCTGTATCAGGTGTGGTTTCAGAACCGCAGAGCGAAGTGGAGGAAAGTTCACTCCATCACAGCAAAGGCTGAATCCATGCAGAGTATCTGCAGTCCGAATCACAACGCTCTGAACGCCCTCACGTGTTACAGGTGTGTCACTAATCCTTTTTATTTAGATCATTTTGGTTGAGCTTATTGCTGAATGTGTTTTTATGTGTGAATCAGGAATGGACCACTGTCTTTTTCTGGTCACTTTGCTGCGACGCTGCCTCAACCTGCCCCAGCAGCTTCTTTCCCCACTCAGACCCCACCCTCCTTCAGCAGCCTGCTGGACACCCTCAACAGCCCAGGTGCACAGCTGAAACTTGTAAAGCTAAAAATACAGAAACCTTAATGCCATTTGTCATAATTCATTGGTTTTATTCCTAATCTGTTTCTCTGATTTGACATGAGGCACAATGACTCACAAGACTAACTTCTCTTTGATTATTTCTGTAAGATCACGCAGCAGGAAACCACTTCCTGCCTACAGCTGAGGGGCTCACAGCATTGTAAAGCGAAATACAAAAAAATAATGAAGCCTTTATTTTTGTTTTTAACTAAATTGTAACGTGAGGACACTTTATATTGCAAAGTCCAACCAAAAATTATCACCATTAAAGATTTACAATACAAAGAAACGGGTTATCTTCTAAAAGGTGCAAATTTTTTTATTTTTGCTGCTGAACATGTAGATAACTTGCTGTTTGTAGCAGGGTGGACCATCTGTCCTGAGAGCCTTATTTATGCAAAAAAAAGACATTATACACTCTTTCTATAATTTACTGGTTTCCAGTAAACCAGCATTAACTACATATTTTATGTCAAAATAAATTACACGTCTGGTGCTTTTCCATAAGATTTATGAACAGTAATCTGGATTGAAGCTCGTGTCATAAACATGTCGCCTTCACCTTAAGTGTGAACTGTTGAAGTCACAAAAGGGCAAACATGCCTGTCAGCTCTGTGTTAATCATCTTCTGATCAGCTGGCCAAAGAAAAATGACAATCTGAATAATTAAACATTCTTAGTCTAAGAAAAAGGGTGATAGTTTGTATTTTGTCACTTATTTTTATAAGAATAGCTGCATTTAAAGGTTCTGCTCAGTTAAGTGATTTTATATTAAACTTTGCTTCATCCACTGCCATTAACAATTGATAACATTTTGCCTGAACTATTGTTTGATATAAACTTTGTTTTGTTTAGAACGTAGTTCAGTTTTTGTTTGTGTGGCCTCACATCTGACTGCAGTGAGGGTAAAGTCCTGAAAAGAAAACTATTTTCAGCTGCTGTCACTTTGTTTTGGAAAACCGCGGCTTGCTTTGCACGCTTCCATGAAATGTTGTGGGAAAATAACATGTTGACTGTGGATTCTGGTGATGTTTTGTACCCAGCTTGTTTTTGTTAAACGGACTGATCCTTTAAAGTAGTTGCATGTTGACATTACCCCAAAAATGACAACCAAGTGCATTTTATAAAGTTTAATCTTCTTGTCTACAAGGTCACTGCAGAGGGAGAGACGTGGGTCAGCATCAGCTCTCGTCTCAGGGGAGTTTACCGGAGTTTCATCCTCGTCCCATGCACAGCCCTCCCCCTCTGCGACGAGCCAGCCTCCCCCTTTTTACCCCGGCGTACAACCCCATCAGCCCCAACCCGCCTCTGCTCAACACCCCGGCCCACACCCCGCCGCTCTTCCTCGATGCCCTGGAGAGTGGCTCCTCTTTGGCTCATTGTGACTCCCAGTCTCTACAGACTGACACCAGGTCAGCCCAGATTTCAGTGAACTGTTATCCGAACACTAGAGTTACTCAAACATGGACGACAGCTGACAGGGGGACAGCGTAGGAGGAGAGGGATCCTGTGAAATGATGATGGCTCACACAGCGTTGGTAGTGCTGGAGGCTCGGTTGGTCTGAAACATTTCAGAAATATTAAATCTGTATTTGTTAGTAATTAAAACAAATTAAAGTTTGTTTTATCTCAGTTTTATTTCCTTGTTCATTAATACAGGGCAAAAACAGTCAGAGACAAATCTGTGTTCAAGCTACAAAAATTATAAATTTACCCAAAACACAAATTAACTTTCTGCTGAAAATACTTTGTAAAAAAGATCAAAAATGAATTTAGAAAGGGTCAGCAGCGCTTACCATAAATATTTTGAACAAATGTTTTTTTTGTTTTTTCATTTAAATGTAGCACAGACAGCAATTGTGAATTAATATAGAGCTCGCAATATTTAGATGAAAATCTAAACGGGGTTCCCACGCAGTCTTGAAAAGCATGTATTTGTTTTAAGACATTTTCAGGTTTGGATGAAGGTCTTTCTACAAATAAAATGAAAATCTTTAAAAGTTGCTCAAACATGCAGGCTTTTTTAAATAATGGAAAGATGAGCAAGATCATGGCAAATTTTGAATCTCATACCACTGAAGTCACCACGTTATGAAAATGGAAATAAAGAACAGAAAACCCTTTGTTGTAAAATAAAAAAAAACATTTTAGATTGTAACACCCTCGACAAAAATGCAACTTTTAACAATTTAGCAGAAAAATGTATTCAGGCTCATGCTTGATATTTTAATCTGATTTGCATTTGGGGGGGGGGGGGGTGAAAATTTGTAAGATTCTTATTAAAAATATTTTATCTGGATAAAAACAAATTCATATTTTTTCAAAGTTGAAATATAACGGCAGTATTTAAGAGGGAAAAATGTTGATTTCTGTAGTAGCTTTTTTTATTATTATTATTCTCCTGGTGTATTATAAAACCAAGAAAAATAAAAAGATAAAACTATCCTAAATTAAATGTTGCATAAGATGACGGGTAATATAACTGCAACATTGTATAAACGCAGTAAGTTAGCATACATTTACAGATGCTTTGACATCAACATTTACAATTGAAGACATTTCAGTTTGTAAAAAGTCAAATTTTATATTAAAATTGTGCTGGAACAGTTTGAAAATGAACAGATTTTCACTCTTGAGTTCCCTGTATAATTGAAATCATCCATTTTATGGGTTTTTACGTTTAAGCTTATAAACTTGGTTCCTGTCATTAAATCTGAGAGAATTCCTCTTTGTGTTGTTTGCAGCTCGCTCTTTGACTTTGCGGAGAAGCTCAACTACCAGACGTCCGGTCAGCAGAGCAGCACTCTCTCGTACCAGATCTCGTACCCCACCGGCCAGCAGCAACCGTCTCTGCCCCACATGACCTACCTGACTCCGTCTCCCTACCTCACCCCCAACCCTCCAGACTCCAACCCTACCACCTATCTGACGTTTGGTCCTGGAGGAAACTCATCCGGGGTGGTGACGTACTCCACGGGGGGTCAAACGTACTTCCCATCTCAGCGTGCCGGACAAATCCTGCTACAGTCAGCTGGTCACAACGGTGAGTCACTGGGACCAAATTAGATTTCTCCAACAATATTCAGTGAGAATGACTGAAACAGCAGAAAGTTTGTGTTATCTAATACCAGCACTTTGTTCTCAAAAAGGACAATAAAAATATGGAAAATGACTTTTTTAATATACACAAATCAGAAATAATACTTTTTTTAAAATCTTCAGGTTCAAGCTACAATAAAGTCTGTAATTCTGAAGTGAAAATCACTGCAAAGTTCATCAAACTGAACTCGTTCATAATTTAGCACTTGTGACAACATTGGTGTTCACAGATGAGTTGCAAATCTGCACATGACCGGTTCTTTAGTTGGTTTTAACGCAACACATGGCGATACAACCTGCAGGAGTTTATTTATTATGACACAAAATAGCTAATCTGTTAAATAGCTAATAATAAAAATCGGTAAAGAATGTAAAAAATGTAACTGTCAGCAAGTGATTCTTCACTTATCAAATTCTATGTGTTGATAAAAGATGGCAAACGCACCACTTTTAACTTTTTTACTAAATGGGTTGCGAATATCAAATTCACATTAAGCATTTATTTAAAAAACTTTTTTTTCTGTATATTTAAGATCAACAGGCTCGTTTTATGGGGTTTGGCAAACCCTGCTCTTTTTATGCCCCTTTCTCTTCTTTTAATACAGTTTTATCAATTTTAGGAAATACAAATTGAACAGTTTCATGTATATTTGTAGTATACAAATATACAAATGTGTACCGTTTAATACATTTTACTTCACACTTGATAAGTTTAGGTTGATTAAAACAAAGTGGTGTGGTTGTAAGAGTGATAATTTAATAGAGAAATAACCCATAAATCCACTGAAGGTGACCATGAAAGACAAACTGGGCAAAGATCCTTATCACATAATTTCAAAGTGGACAATGATTTTTGTGTGTGTGTGTGATGTGCCAAAAAATATATAATTAACTGATGAATGGATCTTAATAAAATTGAGAAAGCCATCATTGAATGTACATCTACAACTGGTTAACAATCCAAAAAGGCCACCACTTTTAGCAAAACAGTAGATTTTAGCAAACATGAAAATATAAGGCAGTGAATATTGAGCTACTATTTGGTGGTAGTAGCTGAGATTGATGCACGACACTATGGAGCTCTAACTCATTGCAAAAGATTTGATGTTGCATAAATTCACTCACATTTTATAAGATTGAACTGCAACTCATTTCTAAACATACGATGATCTGAATTTAAATCTCCAGTATGGAAGGTGACAGGTGATATCCTTCTAGGAAAGTGATTTAGTCAAACTTCAAACCAGAGATGTGAAAAATCCTTGATTAAATATTTGGTTTGCACAAAAATTCCAAAAAGTCGTTGCATGCTGTTTGTGCATAAATTACCACCGAGTATAAAGTGTGTGGCTGGAGTGGAGGAAGAGGATGACAGCTGTGGCGTCGGACCAGCAACAGCTGCTGGGCTTAACGAGAGACGTAAAACCTCACGGAGATATGGGGAGTCATTACGGAACGCAGATGATGAGAACTGTGAAGACCGGGCAGTAATTTTTTTGGCACTTTCCCACTTTTTGGTGCTGCATTATCTTGAGATTCAGGCGAGCCAAGCTGGCCTGCACGATGATGTGGAAACGGTGTAGACTGCCGATTGGTCAGAGAGGATCGTCTCCTGTAGGCGTGAACAGCAGGGTTTTTGAAGTAGCACGATGACGCACACACGTCCTTTGAAGTCGTCTGAGCGTCTGGCACAAAACCACTAACTCAAACTTGTAACAAATCTACACTAGTTTGATTGGTGCACAGGTTTCTACCAAACCAAATGAACAAACATGTACACATGTGGATGTTAATGTCACTGCAGCTTCATAGAAGTTGTAAGGTTACTTTGTGTCCTGGAAAACCAACGAGGGGCTCCCTTCAGAACTGTAATAAAGAGAAGACGTTTCTGTCACCAAAGCACAGTTGATTACAGTGTGTGGCCTTATGTGTTTTCAAACAGGTGGGATGCCAGTGTACCCATCATATCCATGGGGTAACTTGTACAGTCAGACCGCCGTGCACCAGCGTGCTCCTTCCACCTTCTCTGCCAGCTTGGTGTCTTCTCTAGACCACCAGGCGCCCTCCACCTCCAGCCTTCCTCTGCCTTCGTTTGTCCCGCAGGGCGATCGTGGGTCGTCCCACTTGAACTTGCAGCACTCATCGCACACTCGGACGCACACCGAGACCAGCACCACTCTGCGCACCCCCAGTCTCAGAGCAGAGACCACTCCAAACAAGGTTTCATCGCTGCTGTCCTCTCCGGCTAAAGAAAGCCTAGCAGCGCCCCCTTGTGTTAAACTTGAGTATGACAGTCCACGAGAGATTCACAGCCACTTCCACTGTGATTTCTCTCCCATACATTTTTGAGTTCATCCTGTGTGTGTTTGGATTATTTGTAAATAGGATAGCTGTGTTAAATTTTCTATTTTTCTTTATGTATTTGGATGTTCTCAGTGGAAATGTTAACACAAGGCTCTGTTGGGTCACATGACGTTCCCCTCCAATAAATCTTTATTGCTCAGATCATTTTTATGCTTTTACCTTTACTTTATATCAAATCTGGCTGATTTACTTGTCATATTTAACGAGTACTGTTTTTGTTGCAGATCATAAAAGCACAGTTTTTATTTATTTATTTCTCCACAGTTTATGAGAAATGCATGAACACGTTTTATCTCTACCTTGGACGGGCCTTAATATGAAGATAATCAACGACAAGAGATAAAGATGTCACCCCACCTGAAGGTTCAACGGTTTAATCACATTTTCATTTAAAACTTTATTTAAAATTGTGTCTATGCTCAACTTGACATCCAAGTAACAGATAGGTCAAACCCTTTGTCCCCTAGATTGTCCCCATCTGTCCATGACGCTGCACAGAAAGTTGTCCATCGTGGTAACTCCACAAATGTTTAAGATAGAAAATGTCATCAGACTATAAACTTTTGTACTAATCAAGCCCACTCATCAAAGAATTCTTGTTCCTCCTGAAGTCTTCTCCTTTGATCATAACGCAGTTTAAATAGGCTGGTAGTCCTCAGCAGGTAAGTTCTTCACATTACAGCTGGTCTCTGCAGTTTCATGTTCTCTCATGCTCTTTAATTGAACAGTTTGTTGATTTACACCACGGATAAAGTAATTTTCTGTGAAACTGACCTTTCACCCCACCACAGTCATGTATAAACTGAGACGCATGTATAGTTCAAGTTGTTTGTCATATGCAGGTAGTTGAGCAGTACAATGAAATGTTCAGGATGGGAAGAACTGATTTGACTCGCTAAAAAAAAAAAAAAAAATCTTAAGAACAAACAAACAAATAATAAAGCATGCAATAAGGGTGCAACAATAAAGTACCAAAAAGTGAAAAAGTTATAATATTTACAACATCCTAAAGAGAAATGGTAAACAACAACATGGTAGAATATAACGGTGCAAGTAGGATTAATTTGTATGAAAAGTATTTCAGGGTGGTAATATAAGCTAAAATGCACATATATTGCACATAAGTAACATAAACTACACAGGTTGTGACAGGTTATTGCACAGGTAGTGAGTAACATTGAGATTGAATTATGATGGTAAATTAATGACACATGATACAGCCACATGTGCATGGCATGTGTGAGAGAACTGTTTAATTTTATTTTAGCATTTTTTGTATTAAAAGTTTAACCAAGGACTAGGTTTGCAAATTAGCCTGTGGCTAGAAAACCTTCGTACAAAACAACTGTTGCTTCGTTTTTATCATGTAACATTGTTTATTGTGCTGTCCTTATTCAAATAAACTTGAATGAACATAGTGCAGCAGCAATAAACATATTAGCCGACACAACTAATATTAGTCATATTAATTGTTACAGATGTGGCTTGGTGCATTTTTATTGTCAGTTTTTCAGTGTTATTTATTGAGAGTTCAGTAATTTGACAGCTCGTGGGTAATAGCTGTCCTTTAGTCTTTTTGTACGTGATGATGGACTCCTGTATAGTCTGCCTGAGAGTAGTAGACAGAAGAGTCCTTGTGCTGGGTGGGTGTGGTCCTTAATGATGCAGCGTGCTTTATGCAGACATCGGCTGTGACAGATGTCCTGGATGGTGTGGAGACTGCTACCAGTGATGTCCTCTGCTGTTTGCACCACCCTCTGTAGTGCTGCCAGCTCTGACTGGTGCAGTTCCCATACCACCCTGTGATGCAGCCTGTCAGCAGGCTCTCACTGGTACACCTATAAAGTTGGTGAGGATGCTGGTGTTCGTACCAAACTTCTTTAGTCTTCATAGGAAGTAGAGTCTTTGTCGGTCTTTCTTGACCACCATGTCTGTTTGT